TCTGGTTTCATAAGTAAATCCCGTACTAGTGATGCGATATCTGGAGGAAGATGAGAAACTACATAATTATATTTAGTAATGGATTCTGTGATAGGTTTGGGGGGTGGCAAGAGCAAAAGTACTTTCACACATAATAAACCATAAAGATGGGTCTGATCGGTTATAAACCGGAATTTGGACGGCATGAACATCAGACATTGTGCAAGGTTTTTAAGCCAAAATAAAAGCAAAAATTTAACTAAAGAAAATGAAATTAAATGATAAGTAGAAAACAGAATTATAAAATGATCTATAATTACTACTCATCTGTGATCCGGAGGACGAAAAACCGATGTAATCCATTACTTCTGGTTTGGAGATCTTGAGTGATGGCTTGTAGTCAAAACCGAAAGTGCTTGAGAACTGTTCATACGATTTAACACAGTCCGGGTTACCATTATGGTGATTTCCTGTTATGTTTTTACCACCAATCCTCGAATTCCATATCACAGATTATGTTCTTACTGCATTAATATAAATATTAACAAGACATAGTGCACAATAAAAATTAAGCTTTATTTAGGAACTTCGCGCACACTGCCCGACAGCCTGCCTGTTTCGCTCTGCTCGCTACTCGTAAGAAACTTCTCCTCTAGGGTTGCCACACTTATCGGAGGGCGCAAGGCGCGCTCCTTATCGCCACCACAATAATATCGAGTCATTTGAATAACTTTTTAAGAATAAAGAAGAACAAAAAATGCAAAAAAAACACAGAAACCAATGACAATCAAAAACTCTATATGTGCTTTAAAATATTTATCACTTACTTTTTTACATAAATAGAGAATGAAGCTAGAATAGAAGTGAAAATAATTGACTACGAACAATTTGATACCAAACAATAAATAAAAGGAAGGTTATTTTGTCAACAAACAGTTAATTTTTATCAAGCAATAACTAGCTTTTACATTTATATCACTTTTAAAAACACTGTTCTGCAAAAATAAACCGCTAATTCATGAAAACTGCGGCAGACATTATTTACACAGTAAGAGTTCAGTGCTTGACATTGCTGACGAAGCAAATCTTGTTAATGGTCTCCTGCTATATGAAATTATACAATATATTTCTTAAATATCAGTAAAGCGCTATGAATTGCATTGAATACAGATTGCTTAGCCAAACGATATTTACGCATTATAAAGTTTTATCTATTCCATTAACATGATTTAACAATTTATATAAAAAGTGCCGACATATTTTCTTATACTGTAGGTTCGTTTTAATTGCAAATATTCTGTTACATTGTACAAATTCACATTAACACAGGACATAAACAAATCCAAAGTAGTTATAAGTTTCCCTTGACATAACTCAAACGAAACAGATAATGAAATCTTTTCAGCCTGACGTCATAAACGGCAACCAATAGGAACAGGGGTGGTGGCTGGGGCCAGGCGCTTGTTACGGCGCGGGGTCTAGCTTCTCGTCTAACTCTTTTGGCGCATTAACGCCACCTGTCGTAATACTTCATATCTTCATAACATCAGCTATACGAGAATTATGCATTTTAAATTAATGAATACAACTATGCTAAAGAAAATCCTTTTTTTTATTTGCTGATATTTTACACAAAAGCATATTTTAAAAAATATCCTAATCTAAAAATTAGGCAAAGAAATCAGCTTATACTTTTAAGATCATCTTAATAACAAGGCTAGTCAACGGACAGGTAGGTTAGACTCTTCCTATTGCACGAATTCAAGGAAAGTGAGAGAAATTTTCATCCGCAGAGAACCCGTTGGCGCCGTTCCATTTTTACTCGCCAAGCTCGCGTTTCATCGACGCTGAGGCGAGCCGTAAACGTGATTTTTAGTGCATGTAAATTCTAGTTAGCAGACTAAACAATATATTAAGCATATGGTAGTAAAAATTCACAGATAATAAGCATGTAGATGTAAAACTAACAGGTTAAACGTGATATACGAAAATAAATTGGTATTAAATTTAAACAGAAATTAATTATTATATTATTAACTTTTGTTATGAATTATGCTGATTATGATACTTCTCATTTTAACCTATACCATTTGACATAAAATCAACCTGCTACTTTCTAAACCGCTAGCCTGACCAAGCATGTGACATTATGAGACATAAAAAAAAAGTTACATAAAGTTAGTAAAATGTAAATGTCACTTCTTTCAAATATGCCCAACTATTATAAGTGTAAAATATTTAATGCTACTTGATCAATTACTTTTTATTTCATTTTCAAACTTATTAATAATTATGTTAATTCATGTTTAGCAATAATAAATACTACTTATGGATCTATTTTATTTTTAGGATGGTATTACAAATGTGAAATGCAGGCATCGCTAATATTTTTAATTGAATTTATTCAGTTCGCGTTTACTCATAGGTCCTGAATTTTTTTTTCATTAATGGTCCTTAATTTCTGTGTGCAGAAATGTGTATGAACTCTGATTAACAGTTTTCAGTATTTTTTTTTTTTTTTTTTTATTTAAAAAAAATTTTTTTTTTAACTTACTTGCATGCAGGTTAAAGCAATTTACATTGAAACAAATACCCATCCTTTTCATAATTTATTTCACAATACTAATAACCTTCAACAGTAATCAAATTTTCTTCAGTAGCATTGTTAATAAAACTTGAACATTACACATTTCATTACTTTTCAAGAGTCATTTGAACTATATTCCTTACACCAGCAGTGGTTTGCTAATTTGATGACCATGGGGAATACATCAAACTATTCTGTCACAGATAATCAGTAATAAATAGTATTATTATTAAAATTTAATAATCATTTATGTCACACCTGCCATCCTCTGAAGGTTATTGTAAGAAAAACATTAACAATATATTGTTACAATTTTACGCCATAAAAATTGATTTATTATCATAATTTTAGTTGACAATAAACAGTAATAAAAATAAAAGCATTACTTAATTATTTAAATGCCACATTTTTGCGGAGTACGAAACGAATTATTTGAGCGTTTCGAAACCTCATGGTTCTGCGTGCGTACAGCTGTTAATAATTAAGAACACAACGTGAACAGCCGTGTTACAAATTAGCATTCACCCCCTCCCGCTTTTTTTCTTCCTTTCATCCCGAAACCGAGAACCGGGATGTACGAAAATATTTCTATCTATTCGTTGTTAAAAAATTAAGAAAAAAAAGTAATAAATAAAAGAAGAAGAATAGAAATCTGCAAATGCGAAGAACCACAGTGATAACGAAACAAAATGGACGCAAGATGAATGGTTGCAACAAGCGAATAGGTTGAATCCGCTGGGTTACCAGATTTCAACTATTATCGCCAACTTTGGCAATGTTTACATTCACCGGGTTCTCTCCGGAAGTGCTTCCGATGCATTTTTAAGCTAACAGATTTCAAAGTTTTCAATATACTTTAGCTATAAGTTAATAGTGGCAGCAGTTCTTTTGGTACATACACATTCTGTAAGATTGATAAGTAAGAAATTCTAATAGAATTCATATGTAACAATTCATAACCCCTAATGAACAATAAACAATTGTAGTATGATAATCTCCTTGTAGTGACTAGTGTGGAAATAAATTCTACAACTAGGTCGAAGTAACTGTTTATTCTATTTATAAGACGTAAGTTTTTGATCCTGCCAAAACTCATTTATGATTTTATAAAACACAAAATGCACTACTTTTATTTCTATGTTTGTTATTTCTTATGTATATTTCTTTAAATGTACAAATCTCAATGTCCTTCATCTTTTCTGCTTCCAATTAACGTAATGATTCTACAGAGTGTCTGGAAATATCAGTCTTATTCCATCCTGCAGTATAGGGGTGCATTGTTGATATATGTTTCAAATAAAATCTTTATCTAAAGATGCTTTTGAGCCATTTTCATCAAATGAACATTCACCATTTCTGATTTTTTTTTTTTTTTTTTTTTTTTTTTTTTTACCAAAGTGCACAACTTCCTTTTAAAATGAAAAGAAGCATTATGGTATATATTTAAGGTATATGGAAAACTAATTGGTTATGCACTTGGTCTATAACCGAGTACGTAAATGCTATTGCAATGTTAAGTTGCAAGATAAATTGTCAAGTCTGTTACCATACCTATTAATTAAATTTCTTGCCTTAAGTTTCATTAAAGCTTCCAAAATCAACTTATTTTGAAATGCCTTATATCCCTAAAGTCCAAAGTCAAGTATTTGTCAGCAATACTTAAATTCAAATGAGCAACATTATTAGCCGTTATTTTTTATCATGTTGAAATTTATGCAAAACACTTTCTAATAATAAGCTCTAGCAATATTCATTTGAGTTATCGAATTAATATATATATATATTTTAGCTAAAACAAACAAAACAATTATATTAATATGAAAATATCTTTAAAACTTGAGTGGTAAATAGACTTCGTATATGATAACGGATTTGACTCTTAATCACTTACCAAATATCAGGTCTGTTCTTGTTTAGTTTTTTTTAATAATATTTTTTTTAAGTTTACATACATTTTGTTCATTATAATATTTTTTTCTGCTTAAGGTATCGGGTAACCATTTTATTATTAAACATTAAAATGAATTAACATATTTGATTTGAATAATAAAAAATACTAGTCAAGTAATTACCCACATAAATATTAAAATAGCACTTCAAGTAACTGAGACTTTACTATGTGAAAAAATAGAATGCATTTATTTATACATGAAATAAGCGCGTATCATATATGTAAATATAACATTACTCAAATTTCATTTTTCATAATGGAAACTCGTAAAATATTCTATTTCCTCTTATTGTTGGTTTTGGTTGGGGAAGAATTGCTGTTATTTGGTCAAAATTAATGTATGATATGTCATTTTCATCAATGTGAAATACTTACCGATTGCAGTCTTTTGCTTTGAGATGCATAATTTTAATTTCACTCTCTTCATTCATTTTGTTTTGGATCGTTCCCCCGCTTACTTCCTCCAATAAAATTTACCAAAACATAAACACCATGCATTTTGTCAGCAGATATCTCCTCCAGAAACATATGCTCCATTTTTTATCTACTTCAGAATAAAATTCACTATCAGTATTAATAGATATTTCATTCTCTGAGGAACTAGAATAGATCTTTTTATGGATAATATTTTGTGTGAGGTTCCCTTTTTAGTTTAAAATGTTTTTCAAAGTTCTGCATGTAAAACCATTCACAAAATCCATTTTTTTTTACAGTGACAGCTGACATTCCTATAAAAGAATTATCCTTTGGCATCAGTAATTATTTGATGCATGCTAAATGTTCCAGAAAGAGTTGGTATTTCAGATGGTAAAAGTTTTTGCATTGAATGGATATCATTTTCATCGATGAAGAAAATCTAGACAACTGATTTTCCTTTAATTTTTTCATGAAGTTCATGGGCATCAGAAATGTCTTGCGACATAAGATATCAAGCTATTGGCCATTCTTTTAATTACTGCCCCTTTGCCATCAGCAGCTCTTTTTTTATGAGCAGCTTCAAGATATGACCAAGTGCCTTCCAGAAAGCCATGATCAAATAGCATGTATGTAAACAGGAAAAATTCTTTTTTTGATGATACTGTGTCAAGGACCATCAGAAAAAAAAAATGAATCACTGAAAGATTAGGTGCCCTGAATTTCAGCACTGGCTTCAAGTCGGCCTTTATTGCTGCTGGACTGTGGTCGTAACTGGATGAGATTGCACAAAAAGAAATGGGCTTAGTTTCTCCACCAATATATAGGACACCTGCATGATGAGTAGCTTGAGTTCTAGATGCACCATAGTGAAAAGTCTGTTCTTCTTCACTGAATTTGCTGGCAAAAACTTCCGAGAAATCAATATATAGAAGAGCTTCATTAAATTCTAAATTATGTTTGCACATTCTATAGGTTAAGGACTGCTGATGGTACTTTTCTGTTTTGCCAGTGCAAATCTTGCCAAGCATACTTTATTGGCAACAATACACTGTATGCACATAAAAAAATGTTAACAAATGTTAGTTCTAAGAATTTTTATTTTGAAGGCATAAACAATTTAATATAGTTTAAAATTTTGTAAAAAGACAATAAATTTGTAAAAATACATTAATTTAAGAATTTACTATGCTTTCATGGTATAACATCCTGATTCTCCAGTTCATATCATGCGACCTCAAGTGTAAACTACACGACCTCATCTCACGTAAACTACGCTACAAAAATCTAATTCTCTCAGTAATTATCTGCATTAATTTCAAGTTAAATCTTAATATGGAATACATGTTTAAATGCAAGAATTATTTCAATTCATACAAATAACCACAGTGCTTTACTTCCCTAACACATTCTCATTAGAATTGATTGAATTTAACCCTTGACTTTGCCTTTTCTATATTTTCGCCTTTGAGTGGTGTGATTGCATCCTAATTGACCTAATCACTGTGCATGGCCTTAGGGCATAAAATTGAAATATCTGGTAAAAATTCTATGTAATTGTATGCCAGTATTAAAAGAAAAAACCAATCTGAAATGGTTCGGACTTATTTTGAAAATGAGGCGTAAAAGGTTACCAACGAGGATATTCCATTTGGTATCGGCATTCTCAGTACTAGGTGTAAGGACATGAAAAGGACGAAATCTAATAAATGTTGTATTGGATATTAAAATATTGGAATTTTCACTACAATTTTTTTGTATAAGTTTTTCATTGTATCAGTCAAGTAATGTTTCTGTCGCTTCTCCCTCTTCTTTGGTATTGTTTCTGTTTTGCCTGCTGAGGCCCTACTAATATCCTCTCATTCAAAAAATTTTGAAATAAGTTTTTGCTTTAAAGCCAAGTTCTTTTTATTACATGAAGATCTAATTGCAATTTAACACTGCAACATATGAATTTAATCCTTGGCGTAGAAGATATATTTTTTTTATCATTTTGTTATATCTTGAATTAATCTTTTCTTTTTCTTATTCATAGTTTTGTATTTATCTTGTAATATTTGTTTGAAAACGTTATGCAAAAATAGTTCACATGATGGATGATTTCTAGTTATTCTTCCTTTAAAATGCTTTTCTATAGTAACTATGGTTTTTGTTTTCGGAATTAATTGCTTCTCTGGCACTTGATTTTTGTCTCTTTCATTTGTTTGTGCTATAGTTTCCCTTTGCCATCTTTTCTTCTGGACCTATCACTTTAACTTTTCATTATCCTGTGGTAATTTCAAGTTATCCATAGCAAGTTTGCTTTGATTTCTACAAACATAGTAGTTTGCAAACATAGCAGCATCCTCTTTTTTTATTCCAGCGAAATTTAAAATTTACATGTGAAGAGTTAGATACAATCTGTTCATTTTGAATTGAAGTCTTTTCTAAAACTGTTGACTGAACTTTCCGCAAACGACATTCAGCTTGCTTCTCACGCCAATGCTTTGTTTTGTAACCTAATTTATTTTTTTTAATTAAGAAGTTTAATTATTTTAAATATAAACTATTCGAGTGTTATGATTGGATACCGCTGACATCTCACTGATTTTTTGCGAGTAATTTTTTTCCTATAGAATATAACTTTTTTAATAATTTGCATACAAAGTAAATATGAATTTATCAACATTATTAAGTTTTTTAAGTGATTACAAATATCATTGATTAAATACCATAATTAACAATAATTTAACTTTTATTATCTTTGTTTTTGGCTTGTTCATATTTTTCTGGATTTTGTTTCAGTCTTTCTCTATAGCACCTTTGCTTTTCCGCAGGTGTTAAGCCATCCTGGATGCTAAAATAATACTTATTAACCACAGTGAGAAAATAACGTCAAGTCTGTTACCTTCAGTCAATCCAGTAACATGGCAACAGACTTGACAAGTAATGGATTTGACATTCAAATCAAAATATTTTTTTAAAAAAGCTTGCTTGCATTTAAATAACAATGTGCAATTTAAATAATAATACAAATATCTTCTAAAAGTATCTAATAAATTTAAAATAATTGAACTTCTTTATTCAAAAAATAAATAAGGTTACAAAACAAAGAGCTGGAATAACATAAAACTTGAAAGAGACAGGCATTTTTGCCTATGATCACATTTTTAAAGATTTATATCTAAAAAATTTCAATTGATTTTTTTACATTTTAAATTGTATAAATATATTTATATAGTCAAAAGTCGTTAATTCGGACACCCATAATCCGGAATGATCTATAATCCGGACACCCATAATCCGGAATGATCTATAATCTGGACCTCAAAGCTAAAAACTTTCTGCGCATGCGCTGTGTTGACAAATGCGCATAGGCGTTTATGCATGCGCGTAAGACCTTTACGACTGCACATATGTCTGCGCAAGCGCAGAATATGTTTTCGCGTGCGAGTTTTATGTATAACGGACGGTATAAGCTAAAATTAACTATTTCAGTTAATGTTGATGATTGCGTTGTTCCTTAATCTTCGAATTATTTCCGGCTTATTATTTTTTGCAGACTGTAAGAGCAATTTTATAAAAGTAAACTTAAACTTTCGATTATGTCAAATAGAATTTCCGATACTGGAGCTCCCAAAGGATCTACAAAACGAAAGTATGTTCCGATGTCCATCAAACGAAAAGTGGAATTGCTGCAAAAAGTGGATAAAGACATAAAGAAGATGACAGAGAGGTTAGTGAAAATGAAAAAATTTCGATTGAAAAGTTAGTCGGTATTCTCGGCACAGCAATTACGGGACTTGAACAGCGGAACTTTGTAACTGAACAAGAAATTATGTCTGTTTATAGAATTAAAGAGAAAGTATTATCTCATAAAATGAAGCAACTTAAACAACTTACATTGAAAGAAATGTTTAATAAAGTAAACAAATAAATATTAAGCTTTTTTTTTTTCTAAATTTTGATACCCTTTAGATCATAATTGTTCTTTATTTCATAAATTACGGTTTCATATTTTTAATTTTAGAATTTCTGCATGCCATCTTACGAGATTTAAACTGATGATCTATAATTCGGAAAAATCGATAATCCAGAATCGCCGAAGTCCCAACGAGTCCAGATTAATGACTTTTGACTGTAGTCATCTTTATGCAACACATAGCTCAAATTAAACTTTAAATATTAAATTGTCTTGAATTTTCCTTCTCTTCTACTAGGGCAGCAAATGTAAGCAATATTTGAAAATGGGCCTTTTTCACTAGTATATACTAAGCCTATTCCTCAACCAATTTGTTAATGCACAAACAATAAATTGCTGATTGTGTACACTAAAAATGTATCTTCATATTCTTCAGATACTATTTTTTTTACTTCAGTATAGTTATACATGACTGTAATTATTATATCTGGATGTAGAGAAAGCAGCCCTCTTTAAGAAATGAAACTGTCTTTATCTGATTCCAAAGTTTTATTTAAAGTAAAGTTGTCGTGACACTATTCACATTTTGGTCTTCGGAAACCTATACATATAATAGCCAGTGAGATAAATTGTGGATAGCAGAACATTATGTGTAATTTGTAACATATGGAAGGCACTATTAAAATCCTTTTCAGTACAAATGAAGTCATGAAGTTCGGTGTAAATAATTTTCTTGTAAACATTTAATTTAAAATTTCCCAAACAAGATTTCTGCCAGATTTCTCATCATCCATTTCCAAGAATCTTTTAATGTGACAGGCAGCAATCAGAGATCTGATGAAATAAAAGAGAGAATTAGTGTCCTCATAATTCATTCTTTCTTTTTGGATTTTCTTAATATTGTAATAATTATGCTTCAGAAAATGTCATCAAGATTATTAAGAATTATTAAGGATTTTTGTTATTCAGTATATTAAGAAAATTTCTTCTTATAACAAGAAAAAAAAAATATTTTTAATTAAAAAGTTGAATGGTTTGCCCAGATTCTTTACTACCCTGAATTAGAAGCTTAACGGACATAGTTTAAAAATATTTTTGATTATAGTTCAAAAAGATATTTAATGGAATTTTTCCTGTTTTGTTTCATTTATTAAATTATACATATAATTTTGAATATTGTGCTTCATAACATTTTAAAGTTCTCTTTTAAATATTAATTTGAAAACTGACATTAATTCTTTAGATTTCATGTGAATTAAATTTTGAATTTTTCTTAGTTGCATAGATCATAAGTACCGATAAATATAAGCTGCCTTGAGTTTTCAATATCATGACAGTTATTGCTCATAAAACACAAATTTAGAACCTTGACAATAATGTTAATGTGAATAACAACTCCTGCATTATGATACTTTAAAGTAAATGTAAATAGTACACATGCTAAAGATGGGGAAAGGAAAAAAAAAAAAAAAAAAAAAAAGGTCTTAAAATGCTACTTCTTTTAAATAAAGATTATAATTAATGTTGGAGTCCTCTTATGTCACAAGAAGTAAAAGCAAAAGATATTTATAGTTTATGCCATACTTAAGCATACAAAATTATTCAGAAATTCTGTGGAAAAATTAGCCATTAAATATACTTTTTGAAACGAATAAACAGCATTGACATTAGAAGAAATTTTATTCTTTTTCATTTTCATTTGCAATACTAAAAACTTTTTTAAAAATGCAGTGGGTAAATATAAATAATGCATAAAATAAGACAGGTAACATTTAGCATATTCACTCTCTTCCTTAAATTTTTTAGCCTTCTCATAAAAATTACTAAATTTCAAATACCTTTATCACTAATAAAATATTTTCCTTATGTTTAATAATTCAAATATTGGATTTCAAAAACTAACACATTGAGGAAACAAGATTAAATTTTAAACCATGAAAACATGCTTAAACGGAATTTTTGGGAGAACAACACATTCTGAGAAAATTATAAAATATACAACAATTTATGGAGGTTTTCAAATTTTGGATACAATAAAATTTAATGAAATAATTCACTAACATTACATTAAATAATATTCTCGATTACTATGGTTCACCAAGTACAGTCAAAAGTCGTTAATCCGGATTCGTCGGGACTTCGGCGATTCCGGATTATCGATTTTTCCGGATTATAGATCATTAGTTTAAATCTGGTACGATGGCATGCAGAAATTACAAAATTAAAAATATGAAACCGTAATTTATGAAATAAAGAACAATTATGATCTAAAGGGTATCAAAATTTACAAAGGCAAAAAGCTTAATATTATTTGTTTACTTTATTAAACATTTCTTTCAATGTAAGTTGTTTAAGTTGCTTCATTTCATGTGATAATACTTTCTATTTAATTCTATTAAACAGACATAATTTCTTGTTTAGTTACAAAGTTCCGCTGTTCAAGTCCTATAACTGCTGTGTGTCGAGAATACCGACTAATTTGTCAACCGAAATGTTTTCGTTTTCAATAAACTCTCTGTCACTTTCTTCACTATCGGAAAAGCGAATTATAATGACGGAGGAACTTGATTTAAATCATATCAAAGACGAGTGTACATCGAGATGAAATACTACATTTCAGTAAGGAATTATAAGCCAAATAAAATTAAAACATCTGCCCTGAAGATAAGGATAGTTATGAAAACTTCCATGTAGCTGCCCCTGACAGATCAACTTCCAAGTTCATTGCGCGCCGCCGCAGCTCTGCCCCCCCCTGCCGCAGAGCAGCGTGAAATTGATAAACAGATTTCGGATTTCAAAACAATACTTTCGCTTTGTAGATCCTTTTACATATTAGTAAATATATATCGGAAGTTCTATTTGACATAATCGAACGTTCAAGCTTACTTTTATAAAATTGCTCTAACAGTCTGCAAAAAATAATAAGCCGGATCCAATTTGAAGATTAAGGAACAATGCAATCTGCAACATTAACTGAATTAGATAATTTTAGCTTAGTTTATACCGTCTGTTATACATTAAACGCGCATGCGTAAACGTATTCTGCGCTTGCGCACACCCATATTCTCTGCCGTAAAGGTCTTACGCGCAGGCGTCAAAGCGACGCATGCGTAGAAAGTTTGTAGCTTTGAGGTCCGCATTATGGGTGTCCGAATTAACGACTTTTGACTGTATTTTATTCAGTCGTGAAAGGGCAGAATTGAAATTTTCAAATCATCTGACATTTTGCATATAAAAATATATAGTTAAAAATCGCTTTTTTTTTTCTCCTCTTAATTTTTTTAAAATTTCAGTTCCACAAATATAGTGAACGATATGGACTATAATACACATTAAAGTATGTAATGAGCAGTAAAGTATATTTAGTATTACGCTTGCCAGACATCCTGGTTTTCAGTCAAAATTCCGGTATCCCGGCTGGTTTACTTTGCATCCCGGTAAAAATTAAATTTGATTTTAGAAATGACCAAAAAAGACTAAAAATAATTAATTGTGAAGGATTATTTAGGGTAATTACTTTGTTGTTTATTTCTGTATTGTGTATAAAAAGTGAAAACTATAGAAGAGTGATAGTCTGCTAATAAATAATTCTCATCCTATCTTCCTGTTTCCCCAATGAAAGAATATATAAGGTGAAGGGACTTATTCTCTCTATTCTTATTATATTAGGATCTCCGAGCGAGTCCAGTATTGTGCAATAAGGGGTGTTGCTTTAGTGCCAGAGGCGATTTTGATGTACGCTACACCCCAGCGTGTGCAGTAACATTAGACTCGGCGCTAACTGCTTGCGATAGAGATAAGTCAGTCAGTTGTAGTACTGTAACGAGAAATTGTGTATTCGTTACTCAATGATCCAGTACTCGTTACTTTCGGTAGAATTAAGTTATACAGTACAAAGTCCTTAATCCGGATGTCCATTACCTGGAATGATATATAATCTGGATCTCAAAACCACAAACTTACACATGCGTGTGTCCGCTACACATACATGTAAAGCTAGTAAAGCGTTTACCCATGCGTGCTTCTGATAGTGAAGAAAGTTACATTGAAAGAAATGTTTAATAAAGTAAACAGATAAACATTATGCTTTTTTTTTTGTAAATTTTGATACTCTTTATATCATAATTTCTCTTTATTTCATAAATTACGGTTTCATATTTTTAATTGTATAATTTCTGCATGCCATCTTACCAGATTTAAATTGATGATCTATAATCCGGAATTGCCGAAGTCCCGACAAATCCGGATTACGGACTTTAGTATGAAGCGGTGCCTGGCATTGAATCACGTGAGCAACTGAACCCCGCGGGAACTAAGCAGTGCTGCGATCAGACTTTTCCTTTGCATTTTTTGGGTAGAAATAATTAATTTTGTTTTTAACTCTTATTTTGTGGTACACTGATATGATTAAATATATAATTTTCTATTGCTGTCAGGGCTTAATTTCTAAAATCAGAACCGCAGAACCATATGGAAGGTCGTCAGGCAAGTAGAAAAAAAAATAAAGAAATAAAGAAATAAAATGAATATTACAATAATAATACAATTAGTAATTAAAATAATAAAAATAGTAATAAATAAAGAAATAAACTGAATATTACAATAATAATACAATTAGTAATTAAAATAATAAAAATAGTAATAAATAAATAAAAATCTGAAAGTTTTCAGATTTTAAATTACTTCCAAAGGGTCATTTTTTTTACCATTTTGTGTGTTACCTTTATTTATTAAATATCATGTTCTTTACACTTAAACCATAAAATTCAGTTCAAGAGCAATATCGGAAAATAATTTTAAAATGAGCATATCTTTAGAACTTCCGATACACGGTCTCGCACGCTGGAAATAAAAAGGAAATGATAACGAGGATAAAAAGGATGTTTTTTCTATGCAACGTTGCTATTGCTCGCTTTGAAATCCTTGAGCTTTTTAATCAAAAATTAAATGAAGTTTTACAAAATATGAAATCGATAATAAAACAAATTTCAAAATTTGATAGCTCTTGAGTACCGTTGTTTTATCATAATGCAAGAAACGTACATACATTTATGCAGAGTTTTGTCAATTCAGTTTCTTTAAATATAGTACAGGGCGATAATATTTGGTGACAACAATTTGAAAAGTGAAACAACGCTTATATTGAATCAACGCAAAATGCCAAAATGATATTAATAGTCCTTCTGGGCAAATTGCCCCTTTGGACTAAAAATTAGTATTTAAATACTTAATAATTAAAATAACAAAAATTAGTGATTAAAATAATGAATAATTAAAGTAACATAATTAGCAAATGAAATATAAAATGCTTATAATTAAAATTGTAAAGACAAATAAAAATTTAATTAAGTCTTAAATTTGTGATGAATAGTTAAGTAATAAAATAAAATACGCAACCTCGTCTTATTGGCTTAGTACCGTTTCGTCCTTTCTTGTTTCATCCACAGCTCAAAAAATGTCATTTCGTCCGATGCCTTTCCCCACCAATTCCTTCTTTCCCATTTCATCCGCTGTTCAAGAAACAGGTGTGCAGTTTACGATAAGACGAACGCCTGTTTACTTCAATTAAAATGGTTTAGAGGAGATAACTGTTTCTACTTTGACTTAGCTTTTGATTTCTAATACTATTTAATATTTTATGCAGACAAATTATGTTGAGCAGAATAATGAATTTCAGATGTGTTCAAAAGGTGTGTATCTGAATATAATAACATTTTTAATATATAGTATCCATGTTTTTAAAATTTCACGCATTTCTAAAGCAACAGAACCACGGTATCATTATTTTGACACACACAAAAAAATGTATAATTAAGATTAATGTTACATTCTTTATTAAAAATAATGGGTTCTCTTTAAGTGCAGCCATTCATGCTTTTAGAGGATTTAACATGTGGTGGTCATAAAAAGGTGACGTTCACTACCAGTGTTTGTTTATGTTCTCAAAAATACAAGTTTCTTTTACAAAGTGACCTCTTCGAGATGTCGTCAATAGATGATTTGCTATAAAAAAATGGCGTTTTATATTAAGAGAGATTTTTGGCTCTAAATTTTTTCACGATTAGCTGTTATGTAAGCTTAATTGTTTTCTTATGCCTTTTATTGTACATAACTGAAATATTTATTTTGAGACAAGCAAACACACACGTAATTATAGCAAATTCTATATATACAATAAAAAATACAAAGAATATTCTCTATTACATTTTTATTTCAGCACAGCAGATTTAAATTATTTTGGAAATGACTGTGATGTCTCTTTTGGAAAAAAAAATTAAAAATGAAAATTCTCTTTTTCAAAACCTTTTCTCAAATTATATCATTTCATACTTTGTTATACTATTAATTCATGTGTACACAATAAAATTGATTTGAATACAAAGGCATAGCCTTGGATTAAAAAAATACAGTTTCTTTTTCAGAATATATTTTCAGCATGAATCCGCTACTTTTTTCTTGTGTGTGTGTGGGCCGATAAGCGACCAAGCGATAAAGTTGCTGAACACTGGTAGTTCGGTCCGGGATTTGAATACCAGTGAATAAGCTGGCTGCATGAGTGTTTTCGTGGTTTTCTCCATGTGTAATGTGTATACGAGCCAGTTTCCTTTAGAAAGTCCTCCACAAAGGCATCCTTCCTCTTAGGCAGATAGCCCTAGTGTGCTTTGCCATAACCGAATAAACCGAAATGATAAAGAGGGAAGTAGTTGGGGAAGGCAGCGATGAAACACCACTTTTTTGAGCTGGGGATGAAACGATACTAGGCCTCTGAGATTAGGAGGGCAGTGGGTAAAAGCATTCCTCTGCAGGTAACAGGCGATGGGAGAAAAATTGGACGAAATGTCATTTTAGAAGAATGGGCTACTTAACCAAATTTCCTGTCATAATCTGATAAACAGTATGTTAATTAATTGCTCATCCAGGACTAAATTTAGCTAAAGCTTGGCTTAATTCTTAAGAAATTGCAATTTCTTTCACAACCCCCAAACAAGATGATGTCTAGTATTTTATTACTTAGCTATTCATCATTAATATCAGAGTTAATTAAATTTTCATTTGTCTTTACATTTTTATTGAATTTGAATAATAATTATTTAATATTCTAGTTGCTAATTATTTTATTATTGTAATAGTTGATTTTATTTATTTATTTTTACCATCTTTCCTAAAAGTTTTCCATTCCAGCAGAAATTAAGCCCTGACTGCAACCAACGATTGAGAAAATAAAAGCCAAGTAAGGAAGATGGATTTATATATATAGTATATATATATGACAGGATAAGAAATTTCAAATTATTTTGTAAATAAGATTATTGTTTAAAAATTTGAATTTTAAAGAATTTTCTAATTAATTTGAGAATGATGTGTATGAAATATAAATGAAATAATTATTAAATGGGACAATATTAAATATTGCTAACATTAATATAGAAATATCAAAGATTTAAGAAACTGAACAATCGTAATAAAATTTCTATGAGTATTTTAATTAAGAGAAGAATGTATTAAAATTTGTGTGGAATTATGGTAAATGATGATGTCGTGTCTATGACAAAGTGCAATTATATAGCTTCAAAGCTGTCAAAAACAGCTTTTGCAACCTCGGCAGCTCTATTATGGTAAATAAATGTTATAATTATCAATAATGGTATGTTAAATATGAAATACTTTGAAGGAGTATTGGTTTAGAAACAGAGGCCTGTTTTACCTCTGCATAATTGTTCCTTTTACCCTGCTCATATGATATAAACTTTGAAGGCTCCCACTTTATTTTTTATATAGGATTTTTATTTTTTCATATGATGGAGTGTGATTATTTTTTCTAATATAATGAAATGCTGTAGTGCAATTCACTTAACCACTCATGAAAATTTTAATACATGAGTCAGTTTAAAGTGAATTTGCCCAAATGGCTGGATATGTGTGTGCTAGGAGAAATCTGTGGAGTCTTCTCAGTTTGTGTCAAATAAAAAAATTGTAAAATGTAGTAATAAAAGTAAAAACTATAATTTCAATAATGTTATTACAAATGATAAAGTATTACTTATAAATGTGAAAATTAGTATGGTGTAAAATTTTAAGATTTATGATTATTCGTAATAATTAATGGATATATAAAATTTTTATAATTCTGATATGGTGTGTAAAACTGTTTGGAAATCCTTCCCTGAAGTACAAGATTCTGATGTGAATGATCCAGAAACAGGAACCTTTTACAGATTGAACTGAAATCTTAATAAAACTTTATAAATCTGCTATTATTTTAAAACAATATAGTGCTTAAAATTATTTTTGAATGCAAAATTTTACGTATTGTAATTTCATTGTTCACAAGCTAATATTATGTTTTGTATGTTTCAAAATTATATATCTCATGTTTTGATTCTCTATCGCTCCGCCTTTATCTTTTGAAAGGGGGGATGTGTAAGATAAAAAATATGAAAGCAAACTTCTAATTTTAATTGTCTATAACCTCTTTTATTTCTTATTTAATTTGGGGACTTCCTCTTTCTATCTTAGAAATAGCACCATAAGTCTAAACTGCATCATTCAAATTAATCATGCAATCTTATGTAACCCTTAATACAGATGCCTCTTGACCAATCACCAAATTGTAAACCAAAACTTGAAACTGAAACTGTTCGACTCCCTTCTCTCTTCCTCTGCATTATTACTGCAACACTTTTTCTCTTCTTGTTAAGCTTTCATCATGTTAAGACGCTTTGCTGCAATCATCTATGTGCTGCTATGATAGCTTCTATTGTTGTTAAAAAATTAACAATTTTTTATTTTCTCTAAAGGTTTTGATTTCAAATGAAATATCAAAATTCAGCCTACCTTTTCTTCCCAGGGTGACTGTTGCTACGATGATGTTAAATCAGCAATCAAAGAAAAACAGCGTAACTAAATTAAGAGGCCACACATAGACGAACACTAGAATTTATTTAAAATAATATTAACTTATTACAATTCAATTCTTTTTCCTCATGAATACGAGTAGTAACCGCAGGTACTCGGGTGATGGAAGTGACTTAACAGAAAAGGGCTGTGGTCTCCACCATCCTGAATCACGTGACAACCGGAAGTGACGTAGATGGATTGGATGACGTAGACGGAATGATGTCATGAGTAGTTTCGTTTTTATTCTGTGGCAATGACACTATTTTTCAAGGTTTTATTTTTGCGGCAACAACGTCTTGAACCACGTGTTTGGGATAATATCATTTTATTTATTAATTTTTTAATACGTGATTTATTATTTTTAATTATCTAGTACATCATTAATTTTAATTATTTACTATTTTTAATTAGTATTTTTAATTATTTAGTACATGATTATTTTAATTATTACATTTAATTAACTTTTATTTAATTTATTATTTTCCCTTAATTTAAAAAAAAAAAAAACCACGGATGGGAGTCGACCCCGCCATCTCTTGAATAGGAGCCTGAGTTTTAAACACAAAGCTATGCTTTATCTCTTGAATCTTGTTATTTGATACACTCTTTGTCCATTTGATTTTGTGCAGAGGAAACTGCCATTATGTCACTAGGCTGAAAGATTGTGCATGCGCAAACCTGCTTTGACATGAAAACTGCGTCATACATTTGTTTTTCATGACGGCGAACAAATACAATCTTGAAGACCAATCAGATTCTTTCTAATAATATCCTTTTTGTAACCACCAATGAGTCTGTTTATTTCTTGAAATGGACTAAGATTTCTTTTGGCTTTCTAAATCACTCTGTTCTTTGCTGCTTTAAATGTTAGATTTTCCTACAATTTAATTTTTTTACAATTATTAGGATATTTTTAATTGTTTTCTTTTTTTTTCTCAATCTTAGTAAAGTTAATTTATTAATTTTTCATTCTATTTTTTTTCCTTTTACAAACACAAATTTTATTTTTAATTTTTGCAAATTGATATTTATTTCTACAAAAGTCAGTTTACATTTTCTTTTCAGTTTTTTTATTTTGCAAAAGTTTTTTTCCAAATACATTTAACTTTTTTTAAAATTTGACAAAAATAATATTTATTTTTACAAATTTAATTTTCCTTTTCGCCTTTTATTTTAAAAAGTTGTCACTACATTTTTAACTTTATTTTACAAAAGTAATATTTATCAGGGTTGCCACGCTACCTGGAAAACCGGAAAAAGTCAGGGAATTCGGAAATTGACCAAAAAATTCAGGGAAAAGTCAGGGAATTGAAGTGTTTTAGTCAAACTCTGGAAAAGTCAGGGAATTCCATACAATGATCCTGCCAAAAAAGGCGAGTTTTGTGCCGACGTCGGAAGAGATAACTTTTTTGGTGAATTGTGTATCACGTGAGTGTCATTCGGGCAGCTGGCATAGAGCCAATTTTCGCAGCTCCAATTTGATTGTCTTTTAGAAAGGCAAAGCAAGTTTCCCGCAACTTTTGGTTTCCAGTAACCTCGAGAATCGCATGTGCAGTGCAGGAACTAAAGAAAGTACCTGTTCTCGTATAAAACAAAATGCGTTTAATCCTAGTATATGGTACCATGAAGGTTAGAACAAGGCCAACTTATACTCAAGGCCTGCCAGACTGAACAAAATTCCGGTTCCCAGTTTTCAGTGGCTTTCGTGAAATTCATCACTAGGTAGCGCTCGCATTCTGCTACAATTTTGCTATACGCTCACTATATGTAACATGGCTCGTTATTAACAAAAAATGTATTTTATGTCTAGCTGCTGTATATTTAAGGGTTATACTTAACATGCTTGGTTTTTTTTACGTAACTTTATATGCATATAGGTTTAAAATTGTGTATATACCTCACTGAACTCAGTTCTGAAATTCCTCATTCTGCTTATTTAATTCTGAAATCTTTATGCATCTAATGCTGTTATTTTCAAAATTTTTGTGGAACTTTCTTCTGATTAATCTGGAATGAGAATGATACACATGGATTTATGTCAGGTAGGTAATGTATCAAGATGGCACTCATGTATATGTGTGCTTAATAGTGATAATATTGTTTTGTGAAATTCAGTAATTTTATTTCATGTATACATTGTTCTTGATAATGAATTATATCAGTATCTCACGCTGCCAGCCATAAAATTTTGTACACATGTCATTCTGATAAATGTTGTATGTACATAAAAATGTCTACCTGCTGTATATTTAAGTGATGCATTTAATAAGCTTGTTTTTTTTTTGCCTAACTTTAAATGCATATATATCTAAAATTGTGTATATACCTCATTCTACTTAGCATTGTGGGCATGTGTGATGGATATATTATTTATATTCAGCCATTGCAAGTTTACAAGTAATACCATAATTACAAGTAACATTACAAGTAATACCATAATTAATTTACCTCTTAGCACAGCAAACATACATTACGTGGATAGACTGGAATTTTCTCGAAACATACCTGGAAAACCTGGAAAAGTCAGGGAATTTCATTCTCCTGTTTGAGTGGCAACCCTGATTTATTTCATAAGTTAAAATTTTTTTTTTCAGTTTTTTTGTTTTCACAAATGCAGATTTTGTTTTTATTTTTCCCCTAATGCATTTTACATCCAAACATAAGTATTAATTTTTTTTCTTTCCTTCAGAAATTTTTTTTGTTACAGTTTTATTTTACCCTTAACTTCTCCCCCTTGTTTTAAATACAGCATGATGTTACATCTCCATTTCTCCAAAAATAAACTTGCATACATTCTTCCCTGTGTACAAAATTTAAGCTGGAATTTACATGCATATAACTTCACTCTGTAAGCTTTCATGGATTTATCAGGGTTTCATTTCTGTAAGCTGTGACTTTAAACCAACACGTACAGTGTTCATTCTATACAATTTAATTGGAATACTACAGTTGTTACTTTTTATACGAATAAGTTGGAGGTTCTAATAACTTTCTCTTCTGATGTGTTGTACTAATTACTAATGATTATACTAACTTTATGGAATACTATGCAAAACATTACAAATTCTCTTTCACACATTTTACTTTTATTCAAAAGATTCATCAAACTGTGTCAAAGAAATTTAAATTTTACACTTTCTATTTATGCATTTTCCCTTATATTTATATTTTATCCTGCTTTTAAAACATATTCATGCTCTATTTCTGATTCCTTTTACCCTAAAATAAATACAGACTACACATATTTCTTTATTGTAAGACCTACTGACTTTGAGCAAATCTTATAAGGAGTTATAAATTTTCATGGTATGAAGTTCATTCAAACCAATTCATGAGTCATTTTCATGAGTTTTTTTCATGAGTGTCATTTTCATGAGTCATTTTCATGAGTTCAAAATTCATGAGTTTAGTTTAGATACGTACCAACAATACTTCATTTCTTATTATTTTACTCTACAGACATTTATAAGCACATATTCAGAATACTCCTCTTTATTCAGCAGTAAGATTCACTTATACTACTAACACAAATTTTGTTAACTATCTGAAATATTTTACTAAAATATCTTGGATTTTCTTGCACACATCCTACTTAAATCACCAAACGTACACTGAACCTTGATTTTTCCTTCACGTGAAAACATCACTCTGATTCTTAATAGGATTTCACCATTTACCGCAGAACTTTATGAGCATTACTATATTTGAACTTATCACAGCGTTACTTTCATAACAAGGTACAGAAGATCGAATTATTTTTAACTACAGAGAAGAATATCCACATTGTAACGTATTATTGTAAATTTGAATTTTAGTTACATTTGTGAAGGAGAACTCAAAATGCATGCATACAATGGTGCAAGTGCTCAATACACATGGAATTAATATTCAGCAATGGAAATGAAACTTTGTCGCCTTTTTCCCAACTTGGAATATAAAAATTTGTTACCTTGGAATATTTTTTCAACCACTAAGTATGATTATTAATTTTTGCTGAGTTTCATAGCCTTTTTAACGAATTCACTGTGACTTAACTGAAAGATACCCTTATTTCAAATTGACAATAATTTATTTAGCACTGAACTCTTACAGCCTTTTGACAACGAAATTTAATTTATCATACCTCACAAAAAATTCCTACTTAATTATGATGCATTACATGAAATATTGAGTAGAGTTCCAAATAATGATCCAACATAGTAATTAACTTAAAAGATCTAACACAGTCATTTTAAGATAGAAATTTCAAACTCACATTGTTTAATAATTAACTTTTACAGCTTTTTAGACATTTAACTTTTCATAGATGGTAAATAAAATTACACACAAATAATCATATATAATAGGTAATAATGATAGAAATTCCATATAATAATCTAATATAGTCACCAACTTCAAAATTTTTAACTGGTTAGTATGACTTTAGCATTAACATTATTTTAATTAACACTTTCGCCATCCTCTCCTGTCCGCGAACCCCCCCCCCCAGCGTCCGTCTGTTTTTTGTAGCGTGTAATGTTGTTTTTCTCTGTACATCATAACTTTCCATACATGACTTTCGTAGTGGATGAATGTCAATGAATATTAAGTAAAATTGTAAGGAAATAAAGCATAATGGAAAAATAATATTATCTTTGCTTATTTCTAACAGCAAGATAATTTGATAACATCCAATCTAGGTGGTCCACTTGAGAACGCTTGAGGCGCGTTATGGCCGCCCTGCGGAAGTTTCACTTGAATGCACTAGACACGTTACGGACGATGAAGAGGTTAAATATTGGAGCCACACAATCCTGCGCTCATGTATAATTTATTTATCATAAGCATGACACATAATAAGTAAATAAAATACATTTCACAAAGTACGAAACACATTTCTCTTTTACCAGCTGTATTCTTAAGGGAAGATGCAGTATGGAATGCTTAGAACACAGTTCCTCATTTCCCCACTCGGTGCCGCAGTTCCTCATTTCCCCACGCATTGATCAAAATATATATCTACTTTAAATTCAGTTAAACAAATTCAAATGCAAGTATTCAAACAGGATTACTTCACAAATTAGATAAAAGATAGGTATACAATGAACTTAAGTGATAAATACAGAAAAGCATGTAAGGACCAAGAAACAAATATGTATTCGTGGAGAACTTTTTAAGATAAACTTGCTCTATTTTTGCACATGGGTTGCATTTTTCATTTCAGATTAAGCAAACATTCAAGATAATTCCTGTATAACTAGGGATTTTATTCATACTAGTTGGAAATGTAATTTATTAGAACATTTGCAGACGTATAAGAGAGGTATGCCATATCCATCCTTGGAAAAACTTTTTTCCAAGCCAAACCATAATAGTGAAAATATAAAATGGAATACGAAAATGTCAGATTTTCCAACAAATTTAGTATTTGAGTATGCAAAACATAACCGAAATGCACCGAAAGAGTTTCTTAATGTATCGCGAGTTAGTGCATTGTCGAGTTTTATCTTAGAGTGTGTTGAATTGCGAGAACGACTGAACCGAGTGGGGAGCTGTACTCCAGTGTATCGTCAAGTGCATCTCGAGTTCTAGCGCAGAGAGTCTCGAAAGTACGTACAGTTCTGAGAATGACCGAGCAGAGTTGGGAGCTGTACTCTGCTGCTTTGCCGTGAAGCTGTCTCCACCGTTATAGCTTGATAGCCCGGAGGCTGTGTCACTGATTGTTTCAGCGTATTTATAGTAGTTCTTTGACGTCATATATAGTGACTTTATTTTATGAGCATAAGGTGCAAAGGCCTTATTTAGACAATAAGACTTTTTGAATGGAAATTTTATGAGTATTTGATCGAACTTTTTGGATTTTATGAACTGTGGACTTCATGAATTTGATTTTTAATGCAATTGCATTTTATTTCTATTTAGTTTTATTTTGCTTTTTATTCCTCTTTTATGTAAAATATGTTTGAAAATTTATGCTTTTAACTATTATGCCAAAACCGCTGCACAAACCCTGGGTTGTAATGAATTTTTAACTCAAGTTCTGATAATAACGTGAATTTTAGTAAAATAAAAAACTTAACAATTTGTGGTTCGTGATGGTATGGGACTTGGATACATTCAGTCCCGTAATTTTGGAAATTTGTTAAATAGGAAGGTGCGCGATCAACAGCATACACGAGGAATAATAGTTCTAGCAGGCCAAAATGCCCATAGCTCTGACAGGAAGGTCCTTCCTCTTCTCAGAAAAGCACCTGCCATTTTCACTGCCAAAAAGTTTACTAACCCACGTTGTCTTTACCTATGCTGAACTGGGGGGAGGCTAATTCCTGTATTGGTACATAATAAAGGTGTCCACATTCCGATGCTGGTGAAACACTTCTTTTCGAACCTTTGGAGTCATCTTTTAGGCTAAAAACCCGAATCACTGACACAGGAGATTTCGTTGCATATGGATTTCTCATGTGGTGTGAAAGAGATACCATTGCATTCGGAAATCAGTCCCCCTGGGCGACCAGACAGAGAACATATGTGACCTTGTCAGAGAATATATGTCAGAGAATAATAATACTTAAATTCAGCAGGAGTCCTTTTGAGCTATTTCTTAGCTTTTTAGTGAAATTGTAATTCCATTCAGAGTCCCAAATAAGACGAAACCCAGTATTTAATTTTATTTTTTATTCTTCATTATGGATTCAATATTTATCTCTATACATTTAATTTTGATTTTAATTATTAATTATTTTATTGCTTTAATTGTTTATTATTTTATTAGTTATTTGATTTACTTATTTTTGTTCATTTTCACTGACTGCGCTTCAAAGGGCTCCGGTACTTCTAATTTTAGAAATTAAAATCATGTGTCGTTCATTGTGAAAAATCATTGATTTAATCAAGTTGCCTTAAACACTTTTGAATAATATTAAAGTTTAATACAGATTTTAAACTAATATAACTTCTATAAATGCTATAAATTGAATAATCTAAAAATGATAAAATTATGTATGTTTCACAACTTAAATTTGTATAATTGGTCTAATTAAATTAAAGTACCTTTAATATTGGGTTAGTAGCTGCTATGTATATAAAGAATATTTTTTTGTGCGTATCTACTTAAAATATTAAAAACTGGACTTGTATTTATTTATTTATTCTGGAATTTATTCCCCACATGTAGCTGTATTAATTTACAAATAAGTTACACTAGTGGGGAAAATTAAAGGAACAAGTGTAAAAACTCATGTAACTTGGATGATTTTGCAGACTGATAACATGGAATTTTTATTTTGTTATGCCAGCCATATCTTCTAAATGCAGAATTGCCTATTTCTGGAAAAAAAAAAAAATAATTAAGAACATTCCAGTATGTGATGTAAAGTAGGGTAAGGAAGTGTTGATGTTACAACTTTTTAGAGATATAGAAAAAATTAATAAGGTATATTGTCTTCTCTAACTGAAATGGAAGCTTTACGACAATTTTCCGTGCTGGATTAAATTGTCTAGGAGCATCTGTGGTAACAAAGTGTATTCACAATGAATAGTACCTTGAAGCTCTTGGAGAATGTTAGGCAGCCTGTAGTGATGCAAGCTGCATTCCAGTGCGTCTTACTTTGCTGTTGGATTTAAATCTGGAGAATATTCTTGCCATTCCAGCCACTGGAGTGCTTTGCTTTCAAGATAATCAGTTACTCGTCCAATGCATTTGGGATGAACATTAACGTTCTATTACAGGAAGTTATTACCAACGGCACCTTTAGGCAACTTACATAAGGGCCAAGAATATCGTCTCTGTATCTTTTAGCATTCATAACTGCACTGGTAAAAATGTGAAAGTAGTGTAGCCATTGAAGATGATACCTGGCCATTTCAGGATTTCACCGCTGTTGTACCGGTGCATTTCATAGATATCCAAATTATTCTGTATATTATGTTTTGCTCTCTTCGCATTGTAACATGTTTTAAATCCTTCTTAAAAAAAAAAAAAAAAAAAAAAAAAAAAAGCACCTTAGTAAAGAGAACATGTTTTTTTAAGTACTCCAACTTACAACGATCTCTTTATCACTGCAACTACGGGTCCACCCAGTGGCCGAGCGGTAAAGTCGCTGAACACTGGTAGTTCAGTCTGAGTTTCGAATCCCGCGAACGGGCTGGCTGCATGGGTGTTTTCGTGGTTTTCCCCATGTGTAACGTGTATACGAGCCAGTTCCCCTTAGAAAGTCCTCCACGAAGGCATCCCTCCCCTTAGGCAGATAGCCTAGTGTGCTTTGCCATAATTAAATACACACACACACACACACTGCAACTACATTTCACAGCCTGAGTTATTGAATCACAAAACATGATTTTCTTTGCATGCAGCCTATCATTCACTGTGTATTTGGATAGTTGAGCTCCTATAGCTGCTGTGGACTTTATTTAATAGAATTGGCATAAGGCATCTTTTTATAGTTAAATTTTCCTGTCGGTGTATTAATATTTCCTTTTTGGCTGAAATATGTTCCAGTTCTGTATAGAACATTTTTATAAGTAATTTTGATACTCTTTACAAGTGTTTTTAGTTAATCAATATCAGAACTGTTTAAAAAAATGGAATTGTATTGAATAACTTTCTTAATTCCCTCCTTTTTTAAAGGTCGCCATGGATGGTGATAAAGATGAAGATTTTCTTTATCAAGATATTAAGATTTGTGAATATATTATGAAGAAGGAGGAAGAGGAAGGAGAGGAGAAATGTTTTGAAGAAGAGGGGCAGGAGGAAGAGGAAGGAGAGGAGAAATGTTTTGAAGAGGGCAGGAGGAAGAGGAAGGAGAGGAGAGAAAATGTTTTGAAGAAGAGGGGCAGGAGGAAGAAGATGTCTCTCTTAAAGAGGAGCCTGCCCTTCAAATACAATTGCACTGTAAAAAACCAACAATTGTAAAAGTCTACAATTTAGATACGGCATTAAAATGCCGTATTGTAAAAATTGGAAGTATGAAAATTGAAGCAAAATCTCCTCTCCTCTATGTGCCAGTGTATTTAGGAAGCAATGGAATAATAATAGAAGTGCCTACTCTTAATAATCGTAAGTGGTTTTAACTTAAAAAGCTAATTTTTGTTTATTTATTTACTTTTATATTAAAGGAGAAAAACGATATTTTCTTCTGTAATTATTTTATTACGTGTAATAATCAAGAATATTTATACAGATAAGGTAAATTGTCAAGGAGGAAATTGGCATTTATTATGCATGAAAAGATCCCTCTTTTTTTTTTTTTTTTCCAGAATACCTTGTCTGAATACTGTCTTGGATTTTATTTTGGCTATAACCATGTTTTTAAAATAGTGATATATTATTCTTGTTGCAGAATTCCTTCTGCAATATGCAATCTTCATAAATATCCTTTGATATTTATCACACTCCTGATCCTTACTGATACTGAATAGCTTGTGGAATAGCATTTTGCCTTTTAGAATCTTCTGCTCACCTACGAAGAAATACATTATTATGTTTCTTCATTAAGGGAAAACAGAGAAAAAAAATCATCAAGCTATCAATTATTTTTCTACTTGCTTAAATTTTAGCTGAAACATTTTCAAAATGTAAAGGGTGTACCAAAATTAACGCAAGATTTGAATTTGCCACCATTCGTGCAGTAAAGGGTTGTCAACCCTCTTAAAAACATTTGACAGCTAAGAGTTTAGTGTTGTAGAAATGAAGTGTTTCACGATAGAACAACGTGTTTTCATTGTTATTTCATTATATATTTCAAAAATAATGAAAGTCCAATGGCCAAGTTAAAAAATTTTGTAGAAAATATGGTTGGAATAGTGATTTAACTTCGTGTTAACTATGAAGAAAGTAATTGAAAAATTCAAATAGACTAGATCAATTGGTGATGCTAAACGCTCTGGTCGTTCAAAAACAAGCTGTTCAAATGTGAATGTAGAAGCAGTGCATGAGGGTGTTAGTGGAAGTATATCAATTTGGCGTCGTGGACAGGAATTGCAAATTTCAAGACTCTCTCTACAACGTGTACTCACTGAAGATCTGCGTCTCCATGTTTACAACGTTCAATTGATGCAAGACCTGAACTGTAATGACCATGCACAGCGAAGAGAATTCGTTAAATGGATTACTAAACATCAACAAGTGGATGCCGATTTTTCGAACAAAATCATTTATAGCGATGAAACATATTTTCACCTTGATGACTTTGTTGATCGTCAAAATTGCCGCATTTGGGGTTCAGAGAACCCACATGTAATCGTCGAAAAGCAAATGTATTATCAACGTGTCACTGTTTGGTGTGGATTTCCGGCTGAAGGCACCATTGCATCATACTTTTTTGAAAAATGAAGCTGGTCAAACAGTGAATGTTACTGGCGCTTGATATCGTGACATAATAACACAGTTCTTTCTGCCTAAATTGGATGATATTTATGTGGAGGACATGTGGTTTCAACAAGACAGTGCCACATGCCATACAGCCTGTGAAATAATTCAGTTACTGCACAAGACATTTCCTGGTTGTGTATTCTCTCGTTTCAGTGATCAGAATTGGCCCCCTAGCTCGTGTGATTTAACACGATCTAGGGGATCTATTGGATTTGTTTTTATGGGGTTATTTCATGGTTTTTATGAGAGATTAAGAGTGCATATGTGCCAGCGAAGCCATGGAGGCTATTTGGTCGATGTGCTATTCCATGCATAACCCTATCCTGTATACTTTAAGATTCAATAAAAAAATAACAATTTAAAGAAAAAACTTTTTTTTTTATTTAATTCAAATCTTGCATTAATTTTGGGACACCCTTTATAAGGAAAATATCAGAACTGTACCTTCAGTAGTTCAAAAGTTATTAAGAATTTTGTGTTCCTTCATGCTCAAAAGCAGCCATTTAAGGAGGCAGCCTTTTAAAATGGAAGTCATTTGCTAATGTTATAGCTTAATGAAATATCAGACTTTTCTTAAATTTCTTCTTCTGAAAAACATAAACCAGAGAAGTAATAAATGAAGAGAAATAAAATATAGAGAAGTATGATGTTAAGAGATTATTTTTATAATTGAAACCTAAATGACTTTTCTCAATGTTCATTTTTTGATAACATTCATCTTTTAAAAACATTAAGGATTTTTTTCGTAATTAAGATAGAGGTTTCAAAATTTTTATGCATGCTTTTTATTATACTTTTTATAACACTGTGTATGGAATTCACATTTTTTGTAAGTATTATTTTTATTTAATATATTTTTGAAGTTTAACTAAGAATCACTTCAATTTCTTTTTCACTAGGCATGACATAAAATTTTTTCTAAAATTAAATCTAATAACAGAATCATCCAGTATTTCATATACTGTGCTTTGTGTACTATATCTCAAAGAGTACATTAAAAATAAGGTAGCAAAATATTAAAATGAAATTGTTTAAAATAATTTAAAATTTTATTTAAACAAGCAATTTAATATATGCTGCCCTTCAAAAGTTAAGGAGCAGATGTTTTTTGTGTCTAATTTGAGAAAGAAGCAACATAGAAACAAAAAATTTACAGGACATGTTCACTAAACAATTCTTTAATGAATGCAACATAGAATGTTTCTAAAGTTCAACACGAACATGAATTACAACTAAAAACTGCACTCTTGGCAGAGAAATCCAGTCTTGGAGAAGCAGTATATCCAGTTTTTTTTAGCAAAAATGGGGTGATAACATTACAGAAATGGGTTCTAATAAGAAATGTGTCCAGCCTTAGCTGCAATACATTGGTGGCAGTGAGGTTCTATGTTGTCAATTATCGGTTAGAGAAATGGGAAGCAACGACCAGACATGGAGTAATCTTTATTCAAACTCAACTAACGACCTTGGAGGCGGACTTAAAACAGCAACCTGTCTCCCAAGGTAGTCCTAAAGACACTGTATCAGATTCAGGTCTGGGGATTAAGCTGGCCATTCAATTTGCCCTATACCGTCATCCTCAAGATATTTTTCTGCAACCCAAGCTCAGTGCGGTCATGCATTGCCGTGTATCAGAAGAAATCCAGAACCAATAGCAGTGGTATATGGGTGGACATATTGATCAACGATCTCCTCTGGATATCTCACACCGGTCAGGTCAGCGTTACCAACGACAGAGATCCCAGCCCAAACCATTTTTCACCACCTCTGTAACTGCCTTTTCACAATGTGGGATTGGTCGTACCTGGTGCATTGTTCCCTTCAGATCAGGTGACGACCTGAATCATTCTCCGATGTGAATTTGGACCCGTCTTGAAGAGAACAGACGCCCATTGTTCACTGGCCCAAGAGACAAGACTGGTGTTCTCTTGCCCAACATAAACTCAGTTTATGTTTAACATAAACTCAGTTTAACTGGCACCTCTGTGGCCTTGGGTCAAGGGAACACAACAACTGGCCGTCTTGCATAGAGATCCGTATTGTGCAGGATCTGCGCACTGTAGTAGCTGAGATTCTTGTTCCCGTTGCCAATGATCTGCCAGGCACAGTAATCCTCTTTCGTGCTGAAAGAGCTAAATAACGGTCTTCCACAGATGTTGTAACTCTAGGTCTGCCTGGAACATGTCTTCGAGACACAGAATCCTCAGATTCAAACTAATTCCATAGTCGGTGGACCACACTGCGAGAGACATTGAGACATCTAGCAGTATCAGCTTGTGACACCCCGTTTCCATCCATCCGATTGCCCGCCACCTGAACGACTCGGGCAAACAACTTCTCCTGGACACTGATAGACTCTGCTGGATATTGTCCACAAAACTGTAATAACAACTGAAGATCAACACTTATGAACAAAACTTACAGTTTTTCCATTTTTTTCCTCCAATTCCTATATAAGTATTCATTTCTATAAAATAAAAGTGGTAGCTATTGTTTTTGCATATATTTTCTTATACTTCGTTACTGTCCTGCACATGAACTCTGAATTTAAACATTACTGACATTTTTGTAATGGTGAGCTTTCAAAAACATGCTGTTCCTTAGGATTTGGAGGGCGGTTTATATTTCCAAATTCTTTTTGTGTATAAGGTATTTCTCCCGCCTTCTTAGTGTGGTGGTCTGTATGCTGGGCGCGTATTCCAGATGTCCGTGACTCGATTCCCGGGAAGGGCATTGCTAATTTTTCTTCTCCTGCTTCCAAAGTACCTAATATCTCTACAGTGGTGCCCGAACTAAAAGGGTGGTGGATGATGATTCTCCACACCCATGATTTGGCGATTGGATCCCTGAAAAAAACCAGTTGCTCTTTAAAAGGGGGAGTATTGAAGGTATTTTCTCCCGCCTGCTTAGCGTGCCTTCATGGTGTGGTGGTCTGCACACTAGGCGCGTATTCCAGAGGTCCGTGGTTCGATTCCAGGCGAAGGCATTGCTCATTTTTCATCTCTCCAGCCTCGAAATAAACTAATGTTTCTAAAGTGGTGCCCGAACTAAAAATGTGGTGGATGATGGTTCTCGACAACCAGGATTTGACAATTGGGTCCCGTGAAACCCCAGTCGCAATTTAAAAGGGGTAGTATATAAGGTATTTCTCCTGGCTTCTTAGCGTGCCTTAGTGGTCTGCATGCCTGGTGCGTATTCCAGAGGTCCGTGCTTCAATTCCCGGCAAAGGCGTTGCTCATTTTTCACTTCTCCTGCTTCCAAAAATACCTAATGTTTCTACATGTGATTCTTTGTTAAAATCTAATCACGATTTCAATGAGTGGTATTTTAGACAAATGAAAATGTTATCCAAGTGTTACTTATTTTGCATATTTGACAACAGAGCATTAAAAAATATTAAATGTTTCTTTTTTTTATTTTGTTGCTAGATGTATGAAATATTTTATGCATACATTGGCCATACATATACGGCTTAGAATATTTTTTGTAATATCTTGATTTAGCTGTTTGATAAAACTTGCCATGAAATTTAGGCAGTTTAGCTGTTAAACTAGTTTAATTTTATAATTGAAAACTTTAACTTGATTTTTCTCTGTCTTCATTTCTTGGTGATATTTGCATGTTTTAAAAATGCTGATGTCTTCCTCTCCCTTCTTCAATTAAGATAAAAATTTCGTATATTATGC